TCATGGTCCTTGGAGGTGGACTTTGCCGTGCTCAGTGGTTGCATGCATTCTCCAGATGCATAGAGAGACTAGAGATTGTCACACCCTAAGATGGCATACAGCTGCATCTGGCCTCACATGGGATTCATGTGTCTGTTGTCTGGGGCACCATTATGTCCCCACATTGGGCTGGGCCTGGTCTGTCCCTGTCCCTCCAGAGCTGACTGCCAAGTCACTCATCTTTATTTCAAGATGGCCTGCTTGAGTGCCAAGTGATAGAGTGACAGATAATGCTGTGAAGCTCAGGATGAAGATGCTTAGATGTTGAAACGGCACTTGTGTGTTTTAAGAGGTCTCCTGTCTTTCTGAATGACCAGAAGCCTCGGATGTGTGGTTTCCCTGGGAGGATGGATCTGCCCCTCCCAGGCTGTCAAAGCTGTGTGGAGACCACCACAGGCAGGATGGAGTGGGACCCCCACGTGTAGACAGCAAGCTGTGGGCCCTGCCTCTGTGTGTGCAGGAGTCACTGGCTGGCTTGTGGCGGCCTGAGTCCCACCAATGCTGCTTTTCTTCTCTGTACAGTGTCTCTGTTTAGTTTTTCTCAGGCCAGGAAGGAGGACAGGATACTTTTGTGGGTGTGTATGGGATGGCTATGACAGTTGTCTCTGGGACTGAACATACATAATCTTTCCCCAAGCCAGAGGTTGGGAGAAATGTTCTTACTGATGGGGAGTCTGATTTGGGTCCAGCTTGGCCAACCTGCAAACCCCTCCCTCGGTTTATTTTGTGCACCCAGGCTTATTCACATCTGGTCTGTGCCCACTGGGGTTCAGTGTGTCCTGTACCTGGTGGAACCAGACATGGTCTCTGGACTACCGTCTCCCATTATGGATGTCCCTGAACCTGAGCTTCTCTTTGTATCCAGGAGTTCTTTTGCAGGGCCTCCTTGGCCAAGCTGTCTGACTTGAATTTCCAGTCCACCTAAGAGGAGAATCTGTCTCCCTGCTGGAATGTGGATTCCAGGGAGACTGTTGGTCTCTGGTCTCAGATTTCAGAACTGCTTTTCTTCTGGTTATTTCTGGTTGCAGTGTACGCATGGGCAGAAGTTTTTCATGATAATTGTCACTAAGATCGGCTAAGTTAAGTAGTGGTTAAGGAGCCAAGCTGGCCCTTTAACATGCATGCATTGTGCCTGCGCAGTTCAGACAGCTTGCTCCTCCCACCCCATCTTTAGTGTGGACTGCTTCACCACCCCTTCATGTGTCATCTGTGCACAGGGCACAAGCCAGTCTTCTCTGTATTGCTTCCGTCTTAGTTAGCCTGTTGTCTAAGCCTGCCTTTTCTTATCCTGTGACTACCCGTTGGAGGGTTAGATGCTAATCTGTTGGGTGGAAGTATGACCCGTCACGTGTGCTGTGGGCTCTCCCAGAACCACTCAGTAAGCATCAGGCTCAGAATGCTCTTAAGAGTAATGGTGTTGGTTAAAACGATTTCCACTCACATCTTCATTATATTGGAATAGTGCAGGTGGGCTAGGGAGATGGGCAAGCAAGAGGTCTCCCAGCACGAGGACCTGAGTTTGAATCTCTGGCAGCTGAGCAAAAAGCTGGGCATAGCCTCATGAGCTTGTAACCTCAATATTGTGATGTGGAGACAGGTGGATCTTGAATCAACCTCGCAGAAATGGTGAGCTGGTTCAGTGAGAGACCCTACACTGTCTCTAGGCAATATGCAGAGGCCAGTGGAGGAACTTAATGGAAGTTCTTGGACCTCTACACAGGAGCCCACATATACACCAGGGGGGAGAGAGAGAGAGAGAGAGAGAGAGAGAGAGAGAGAGAGAGAGAGAGAGAGAGAGAGAGAGAGAGAGAGACAGACAGACAGACAGACAGACAGACAGACAGACAGAGACACAGAGAGAGACAGAGACACAGAGAGAGACAGAGAGAGAGATAGAGAGGGACAGAGAGAAGCACACATCTTCATTCTTTCACACAGTGTGGTTCCATCTGTGCATCCATTCTGTTCTTAGTGGTCCTCCAGGGCCAGTGTGGGAAGCATCAGCTGCAGGTCTGCTTAGGGCACAGGTGGACTCTAGGAGATGAATCCTGTGGGCCTTTAGGCACTGCAAAAGTAGAACCAGGGGATTGGTGATGGGTGTTTTCTTCTGCACACTGTCCCCTTTAGACAGGCTTCATCAGGTTCTTGAAGCCAATTGCTTCCCAAGGCTGCTCGATGTATATCCCTAGAGTTGTGTGTCATTGCTAGTGATAAGGTTTTCCCTCTGACCCCGAGTCTGGAAATGGGTGCTTCAGTGTTCCCTTTAGACACCATCCTGTCTCATCTTCTAATGACAGTCTTTCTCTGTGGGATATGCTCCATCATAGACCAAGCCTGACTTAGCTTGGGCTCTTTTGGTCTTGAAAGGCCCTGACTACCTCTTAACACACATTGATTTGTCAGCAGAGCATCTGAGCATCAGCTTGTGATTGACTGCCAAGGCAAGGAGTGGGGGAGGGTCCTGGCACAATGGGGCAGGTAGAACCTAGCGTGCAGGGCTGGCCATAGGTGTCAGTCTCCATAGCCAGGAGAGCCAGCCTGCGTTCTCAGACGGATGAGGGAGGGCAGAATGTCTCCGGAATCTCTGGTAGCATGTGTCTGGCCTCAGGATGTGCATATGTATGTATGGGGAAAGGAGGATTAACTGAACAGGCTGGGCCTAGGATAATGAGCAGTCGGCAAGAAACAGTTCTTTCTGCCAGGCTGTAGTCTCTGATCTGTCCTCCTTACTGCTCTACCCAAGGTGCTTGACTAGGCGTCCCTTGTTTCTCAAGATGTCTGGGTTGTTTTCTAGCCTCCCACAGCTCCTGTAGAGAACGTGCCTGGATGGTCTCTCTGCTTCCCCATCCTGGGTGTCTGAACACATCTGTAAAGAGATATGGAAGCCAGTCACGTTATCCCAGTGTTTTTGACAAAAGCCATCCTGGGACATTAGAGGCCATAAGACAGCAGCAGGCTGAGGGAGGTCAGATTTTCAGTCCTGCACAGGTAAAGCCTGCTGTTGCCTTACAGATGTAGTAACACAGAGACGAGGATTCCCTGATTGGAGGAACAGGCTTTAAATGCCCATTTCTGAGTGTCCCCCTGACTTGCTCCCCTTTGTGTAGCATGACAGTGTGTGGGGAATGGGACCCCACACCATGATAACGAGTGCTGGAGACAAAGAGTGGTGAAAGTGAGGTAGTTTATCTTGTGGTCTTAGGAGATCAGGTGCCAAACTATAAAAAATGGCAGCCCAGTGCATGAGAAGGCGTCCCTCTTAGATCCCTCATCGCAGCTACTTCCTCCTCTTTGCCATTGGCTGGGTTCTGAGGGAGGTGCATACAGTCCTTCCTATTCATCACCTACATTTTATTATCTTCCCCTCAGTGCATACAGTGAGTCAGATAGTCTGCTGCCTACATTGAGAAAAACGTGGTGGGAATTAAGGCCCAGACAAACAGGTGGTCATTATGGGGGCAGCGGACCCCATGCCACCTACTATTCAGAAGCCCCATGCTTATGGTATTGTCATATTTCGTTTCTCACAGTGGTGACATCTGTTTTGGACAGGAATTGTATATACCCGTACGATAGTGAACTCTGAGACACCCCATGCAAGTCACTCCTGTTTTCATGATGCAGAGAGGACCGGGTTCACAGGGGCGGGCAAGCTTGTGGTGGAGCTGACCGGCAGATGCTGGGGTCTCTGTGCTTCAGGCAGTGGCGAGCTCAGGTGCATTCCATGCCTGTCTGCATTTCTGTGAGGACGGGGAGTGCTGTGAAGCCCTGAAGACTCCAGAAATAACCAAGTTCTGCCCTTGGGGCACAAAGTGCACAGCCCACTAGCTCCCCTTTGTGGAGTAGTACCCACAGGTGTCATCCATGGGTGTCATCCGGTCCTAGGCCTTCCACCTCAGTGGTGTGAGACGTGATGCCTCACCCTGAGGCCAGCTAGCTTACTCTCTCCTCTTTCCCTTAGGGTTTTTTGACCTTTGTCTGTTACTTGACTCTGTCATGGCCCTGGCCCTGCTCTGGAATGTGGAAGTCCTGAATAAAGCTCCTCTCTTAGGCTGAGGTGTATGGTGGGGAGTTTGTGGCCATGCACATGAAGGTGTGCACAGTCTGCTACAGAAATACCAGTGTGGTTGATAAATAGGGGTCCTAGAGGGAGGGGCAGCACCGTGCAGCCTTCGGGTCCTTGTTATTAGACTGGGCGCTGCCCCTTATTTACCTTTTACCTGTGGCTGCTGGCCTGCATTGCATTTGACCCTTTGTAGAAAAACTGCTCGAATGCCTGCCTTGGGAACACCTGAAGCAGGGCTTGTCTGTCTTCAGGGAAGGAGGCGGTCTTGGGGCACTGGGAGCTCATGCAGTGACTGATTGAGGCTTCCTTTTTTTGGGTATAGTTCTTTGGAAATGGTGGGCTACACAAATAGTACTGTGTAGACCTTTTGTGTGTAAACAGCTTGAGCTAGAAGAGGTTGGCTTAGGTAGTTGGTAATGCCAAGGTGGGAGGTGGCTGGGAGGAGCCTGTATGTATAGTCCAATGAAATCGGTGTCCTCCCTGTCTCCCTAAGGGGAGAGTGTAGGTCCCTGGAGCGGATCTCTTTGTTAGGAGGAGGGTACTGGTCGAGGTTCAGAGGAAATGCAGAGGAAATGTGGGTATTCATTAGCCCGTGTGGCCCTCCTCATCCAGCCCATTCTTAGATACAGACCTGACCCCGCTGGAAGGTGTGTCACTGGGGAATTAGATCGCTGGTTAATCTTCTGTAAACCTGCGGTCAGTGGCTGTTTATTGTGAGTGCTTTCTTTTGTCTGTGTGTCTTTCTGTGTCTCTGTCTGTCTGTCTCTCTTTGTTTCTCTGTCTCTCTCTCTGTCTCTCTTTCTGTCTGTCTCTGTCTCTCTCTGTCTCTGTCTCTGTCTCTGTCTCTCTGTCTCTCTGTCTCTCTGTCTCTCTGTCTCTCTGTCTCTCTGTCTCTCTCTCTCTCTCTCTCTCTCTCTCTCTCTCTCTCTCTCTCTCTCTCTCTCTCTCTCTCTCTAATAAAGGAAGTAAAGCCCCATGCCATGCTGTGTACATCTTAGCACCTGGCAGATAGCAGTCACATTTTAATATTCCTGCTTAGGTTGTCAGCCTTATTAACCTTCCGAGCCATTTTGCCAGCCTGTTGGTTGACATTTGGAAGCGTTGGCCTATGCATATGAGTCTAGTCATTGGTGGCACAAGTTAGCAATTTCCATTCAGAGCCACAGTAGGATCATTGAGACGTTCCCAGGATTTGGATTTGGTTGCAGCGCAGGGAAAAGATCCCTCAGGGAGAGGAGCCATGTAGGACAGCCATGAGCACAGATCAGCTCCTCACCCCCAGCTGAAGTCACATTTCCTATTTACTGGGGCTCAGTTAACCTTGACTGGTCTATCAGCATGTCACTTTGGGCCCCACTTGGCCTGGGGTCAGCCTTCCTGGGCCCCCTTTTAGGGTGGACAGAGGCACTTCTTGGAGCTACCTGGATGTAAGTTTCAAGGGGAATTGTAGTGAATGCCAGATGTCTGCAGGGGACTTGCTGAAGCCCTCCAAGGGAAGCCATCTTCAGATATAGAAAGGTGTATTGAAGGTAGGGAGTCATGGGACAGTACATTAATTTGCGAGTAATTAGGAAGTGCTCTCAAGCGTTGTGTTTTAATTAGAGCCGTGCTTAGGCTGGGCAACTCAGGCTGCTCAGCAGCTCTGCCTGATTGTTCAGGATGTTTATGTAGGAAGTTTGCAGGGGCTGGCGTAATGACATCTGCAATTCGGTCTATCTCTGTGTCATATGATGTCTGAGTTCTTGATTGCAGCAGCTATGGGGTGGGACCAGGCACCATCCACCGGGCATTCTGGGTATACTTGGAGTATTCCTGGGAAGGGAAGGAAATGTCACAGTCACCCAAGCTGCTGTGTTACAGCTCTTCAGCCAGGATCTCTTCCCATCCACAGCCACTGTCCAGGGTCTGTTCAGCCATTCTCTAGAGAGAAAAGCAAGAGTGTCCTTTCTGTAGGAGCCCTGCAGTCAGAAGTCCCAGGTATCTCACTAAGTCTCGAGGCCTTTGGGATTGTGTTTTGGAGTTTGCTATAAAATGCCTTTTCTTTGGCCAGTCAAATTTCAGTGTTAAGCCTGGCTAGTGGTGGCACATGCTTTTAATCCCAGCAGCTGGAGCTCTGTGAGCCTGAGACCAGCCTGGTCTACAAAGCAAGTTCTAGGATAGCCAGGGCTACACAGAGAAACCCTGTCTCAAAAACCCAAAACCAACAACAAGGCACCCCCCCCCCAAAGTTGTCTCCTCAGCTGCCTGGACCCTGGGCCTTGGGGTATGATGCTGTAGAGCCAAGCAGGGCTCTGAAGGTCATCCGGCGATGGTATCATCCATGGTGAGCATCACAGTACCTGACAGAGTTGCATCAACTTGATTTTGTTCTGCAGATGGAGGCATCCTCAGGGATCTGGGCTCATGAGAAGAGTGCTCTTCTTGAAGACTCCAACTGCTTGTTTGTATGCAGTGTGCTTTCACCTTCTGCACACACTCTGTTATAGCAGTCTCCATTTTGAGTGTCTAAATAAAGGCTGCCAGCAACCTGGCCTCTGCAGGTAGACACGGAGAGCAAGCACAGGTGGAGTGGGTGGAGCCTAGGAATGGCACACCCAGGGCAAGCCCTCATGGGAGAGTTCACCAGTGCCAGCGAGGAATGCTGGTGCAGTGTGCTTTTCCTCACCAAATATCCAAGTGAACACCAGAGAGTCCTGAGGGAAGCCTGGCTTTGTGGGAGCTGTGCAGTCCCGAGTCTTCGTCAGAGGAGGTAGATCTGAATCAGAGTCATGGACTTCTGCAGTGATTTGTTCTGGTGAAGCCATGGTTGGGTTAATCACCATTTCTGTGTCACTGGAATGAGATGTTTGCAGGAGAGCATTGGGGGATGGGAGGATGCTGTGCAGGAGAGCACTGGAGAGCATTGGGGGATGGGAGGATGCTGTGCAGGAGAGCATTGGGGGATGGGAGGATGCTGTGCAGGAGAGCATGGGCAGTGAGGAGAGACCCTGAAGCTTTCTGGAAGTCTCTATGAGGAGGTGCAGGTGTATTGAGACCCAAGGGAAGGAAGGTGTGTTTGTAGGTGCTCTGGATTTGCCATTGCTTGTAGCTGCCTCCTGGTGAGCCTGGCTGATGACCGGGGCCTCCTCCAATGAGAATACTGATGATGTATCAGGTCCTGATCCAGTTGCAGGCCTGTGATAATCCTGGTCACTTTGTCCTTGGCCTGCATCTGCCTTCTGTATTCTAAGTTGAAGCTGCTGCTGCTTCAGTCTCTACAGAAGAGAGGAAAGTTGACCCCAGGTCAAAGCGAAGTTCATCCGGCCTCCTCAGCACCCTCACCCAGGCTCAGGATGAGGTGTGGCATTCTGGCCTGTTACACGTGTCTTGTGGGGACAGATGACACAAACCAGAGAGAAGGTTTCTAATGACGCTAGTAGTGTTAACTCTGGCCTTGCCCTGCTCCACCAGGTACATAGGCCCCAGTGTTAGTCTTCAGGCATTTGTACTGGCCTGCCTTTGGGGTTCTGATAGGATACGCTGTCAGCTGCAGCCATTAAGAGCACCACCTGTGCATATTCATTATATTCCTTTAAAAGAACCCTGCCAACCTCCCATCTCTTCTCTCCCTCTCTCCCTCTCTGTCTGTCTGTATTATGTTTCCTTTTAAAAGGGCCCTGCCCACCTCCCATCCCCCCTCTCCCTTTCTTTCCTCTTTTCTGCTGCTCCTGTTCCCAGAGGCCAGTCCCTCCCCTCCCCTTTCCCTTTTTATGATCCCTTTCCCTTAATAAAAACCACCCTTCCGCTTGAACTCTGTTGTATGGTGTCTGTTTCTGTTTCTGTCTGTCTCTGTCTCTCTGTCTCCCCCCCCCACTTCCTCTGCTTTTTAAAAAACAACACAGCACCCAGATGGCTGCTGTGGAGGAACAGTCCTGCTTAGCTTGGTGGGAGCTGGTCCTGATTCCCCTGCTTGTGTGCTTCTCACAGTGTGAGTAAGTAATGAGCTGAACATAGAAATCACAGGCGCTGATGAGTGTGAGTATGTCTGCAGTACCTTACCAAGTGCCCCAGGAAACACAGTCATCTGGTTATAACCTTTTTCCCTGTGTGGTGGTCAGAATGAGAATGGCCCCCATATGCTCATGTATTTGAAGGCTTAATTACAAGGGAGTGACTCTGTTTGAAAGGATTAGAAGGACTAAAAGGTGTGGCCTTTTTGGAGGAAATGTGTCATTGGGGGTGGGCTTTTAAAGCTCATGCCAGGCCCAGAGTCTCTTTCTGCCCACACATCAGGATACAGCTCTCAGCTATTGCTCCAGCACCATGCATGCCACCATGCCATGATGATAATGAACTAAACCCCTGAAAACTCTAAGCGAGCCCCCAGTTAAATGCTTTCTTTTATGAGACTCGCCTTGATCATGGTGTCTCTTCACTGCAGTAGGACACTGACTAGGACAGCCTACAAGACCGCAACAGGAACATGGAAGTTTTCCCCCACTATACAGACAATCGGCGGTATGTACCCACTGTCGAGTGGCTTTGCCCTCATCTACCATGGGTGCTTTGCTGCCCTGTGCGATGTGATTTGGAGTTTGATTTTGACTGGAACCTTTAGCATGGTCTTGTAATTCTTCACTGGAAATGTGAAGTACTGAGGGTTGTGTTATGTGATTTTCCCAGGCTAGGGAGCATCAAGTAGCTGCCATTGTTGCCTGGGATCTTTTAGAGATCGGAGATGAGAACAGGAGGGTAGACTTGTCTTCCAAGCTGGCCCTGTCACTCAGAGTTAGCAGCCTGCTCCTGGGGGTTGTCTGCATAAGCAGCAAGTAAGAGAAGGTCTTACATCTACAGGGAAGGTAGATGTAGTTGACTGTAGTTCTAACTGTTGACACCCATACAACAGTGCAGGCCCCTCTTGATGCCTCCCTGGGTCCTTGTGTACATGAGGCTTTGTGGCTCTGGAGAAGTGAGTTTGTTGAAATGATAGGTTTGAATTGACTGCTGGGTAGTGATAAGCAGATATGGCAGGCAGGCTCCTAGCATCACCCCACTTGTTCCCGGGGGTGGGGGACGGGGTAGTGGTGGAGGGGGTCTCAGGGTTGAGCTCTTATCTAGTTTATCAGTGGGAGAGTACAGTTCACCTGACAGAGGGGTGTCAAGAAGTCCTCACTGTGTGCTTGTCTGTGTAGGGTATTTTGGTGGCTAATCTCCATTGTCAATTTGACTACATCTGGAATCAACTAGAACCCAAGCAGCTGGATTGGATAATTTGAGGTGGGAAGACTAGCCCTTAAGTCTGGACTACCCCTCCTGGTGGCAGTCCATGTAGAAGGACTTGGAAGAAAGACGCTTCTGCTGTTTTCCCTGCTTGCCCTCACTCTCACCAGCAAGCTCATCTGTCCTGTTGCTGAGAGGACACGCCTTCCCTGGTGTCTGACCCTGCTTCTCCAGGATCCCTGCACTGACTGCAGACCAGCTGATTTCTAGGAATCTTTGAAGACGCTAGCACCAAACTGGGACACTGAGACATCCCGTTCCGTATCGGAAACAACTATGGATTCTTGGGCTTCCAGTCTGCAGATGGCCACTGTTGTGCTGTCTTTAGAGAGCCCTGAATACTACAGGCATACTGTGGTAGTCTGCAGACACTGTGTGGGGACAGTAAAGTTCTCAAGAGTCTGGTGTGCAGCAGCGTGCGTGTGTGTGTGTGTGTGTGTGTGTGTGTGTGTGCACGCTTGTTTCTCCATTTTATGACTGATTTAACTAGTTACCTTTTAATGTTTATACCAGTAACTGTTATCACCTCCCCCCCAAAAACCACTTTAAAAATTACCGAGCATATGTATGGGTGTGCCATTGTGAGTGGAGGAGGTTGGAGGACAACTAACTTTGTGGAGTCGGTCCTCCCTTTACATGGGTTCTGGGCATCGAAGTCAGGCCATGAGGCCTGCATAGCAAATGCTTCACCCACTGGGCATTTTTGCGGATCCATCGCTCTCTGAAATTCCCGTCGTACCTGTGAAAGCGTTCCTGCCCCCGCACTCTCACCCATCTCTCGCTGCCGGTGTTTGGGTGTTTGCTCTTGGTAACGTCCTTGCTTTGTTCTGGGTTCCCACTTTGCCCCATACATCTCATTCATACAATTGATTCTAAGAATTGAAGTTTCTATACCCCGATAAGCCCCTCAACCAATACAGCAATCCGTATCAGACCAAATCAAACAGAATTAGAAAAAGCCCATGTGTAATGGATACGCCACTCCTAGCTGGCTTTCTAGCCCCCCAGAGAGGAGATGGGAAAAAGAGACCGGAAAACCACAAGTCTGTTTTCTGAATGGCAGGCTAAATACCCTGTGGAAGTGTTCTTGAGCACCTCTGGGGAAGGGGTCATTATTTGATGGGCTTTTTGAGATGCAGCAGGGTTTGGAGGGAGATAGGGGAGGAGGGCTTGGGTGGAACCTCCACCATAACATTTCAAACTCTTTGGATTTATGGATGCCAGGGGCTGGGGCAAAGCTTTTACCATAGCAAGAATAAAGTGTGACCAGACACACCAAATGTTTTGCAATTTGACTTTAAGAGCTCTTGAAAATACTCTAAGGCCTTCCAGAATGTTCTTGTGTCTCCATCCACTTCCTTTCCCTGTCTGCTTTACCCCAACTTTCCCCCTTTCCTGCCTTCAGGAGCAATAAAAGGACCCCAGAGAGGCTTTCCCACTTTACCTCCCATGGAGTTCCAGGAAGTCCTGTCTGCCTTCCCCATAAGATCAGTGTTCTGACAATAGGGGGTTGACATTCCTCACCAACGACCCAGCTTCCGGATGCTGAATTCGAAAGATGCACCCGCTTGCCACAGCCCTTGTAATTTACAGTAACATGGCCATGCTGGCAGCCTCGGAGCTTAGTATAAATTGGTTTCACAAGGAGCCCCACGGTGCTTGGGCAGAAGTAGGACACACAGATCCAAGCCTGTGAGATCACTGCAGCCCTGAACATGTCTGTTTTTCATGAGGAAATGTTCACGGCACATTTCATTAAAGATTTTTAAAAATGTTACCAACCTAATGATAATGGGGTTATTTGGGAGTCTCAGCTTCCATGCTGATGATGAGGCCTCATCAGATGCTACTGGTGGTACTTTTTTCAGATACAAAAGATTGATTAGAAAAATCACAGTGTAAGACGATGGATTGTTGCAAGTCCAGAGCCCAGTGAGCTTGGGCCATCATTCGTCTCAACAGATATTTTGCCCCCCCCCCCCCCGTTGTAACTTAAGTTCCTGCAAGAGTAGGCAAATCCTTTGGGATGTACACCCATAGCTACCACCACCCAAAGCTAAGCATGGCATTAGACAGAATCTAACTCTATGGAAAGATCCCTCTGCTCTGCTGTACCTGATGTTTCCACCACTGTTTTTGAAAGGTGTCCTTTTTTGTTTTTTGTTGTTGTTGTTGTTGTTTTTTTTCTTTCAAGACAGGGTATCTCTGTATTGCTTTGGATGTTGTCCCGGAACTTGCTCTGTAGACCAGGCTGGCCTCGAACTCACAGAGATCCGCCTGCCTCTGCCTCTCGAGTGCTGGGATTAAAGGTGTGTGCCACCAACACCCAGCTGAAAGGTGTCTTGATTTATGACTTTCTTTATTCTTTTGCTAAGAGCTCTTCATGAAAGGGTTACCACTTTGGAACATAGTATCCAGGGCAACCTGAACCTGTGTTCTGGGCAATGGTTGCTTATAGTGTCCAGGGCAACCCGGGCCTGTGTTCCTGGGCTGTGGTCACTCTTATTTAGCTTTGGAATAAATTCTTACACATTTGAGTTTGAGAGCTGTGTATTTTTGTTTTTGTTGTTTTTTTCTACTTTTTGTTGTTGTTGACAGCAGCTCAGAGTTTTAGAGGTACTGATCCATGATTGGTTGGTTCAGTTGTGAGGCCTGTGGCAGCCCAAGATAGGAGAGTGTAGAAGAGAGACGTGCTCATTCCATGACCAGGACAAAAGAGTGAGGCTAGATCATGCCTCTTCAAGCATATACCTCCAGGGACTTCTAGACCACTCATTAGGTTTCGTTAGATTGTTCTTGCTGTGGTAAAATGCAGCAGCTACTTAGGGAAGAACTACTTCTTTTAGCCCATGGTTTCAGACTTGTATAGTCTGGTGGTTGTACTGTTCCAGGTCTGGGGCCAGGCCGAAGCATTATGCTGGGGAAGGCATGGCAGAAGAGAGATGTCTACCTCATGCTGGAAGCAGAGGGAGCAAGAGGAATGAGTAGCCTAAAAGGTGGATCTTTCTAGAGTACGTCCCAATGACCCATTTAGACTCTGTCCTCTTCAAAGTGTACAGCCTGAAGCTGGAGAGAAGGCTCAGCAGTTAAGAGTGTTCTTGCAGAGGACCCGAGTTCAGTTCCTAGCAACCATGTTGGGCATCTTACAACCTCCTGTAACCCCAGATTTAGGGGGTCCATTATCCTCTTCTAGCCTCTATGGCCATAGCACTCAAGTGCTCCCTTCTACAAGAGTAAAAAGAAAATTTTCATAAAACCGTTGAATTGAAAGATTTTTATGCATTTGCATAATTATGAGTACTATCCAGTTCTGTATTGTGTGTGTGTGTGTGTGTATGTGTGATTTCCAAGTAACTTATACCTCTTAGTGGCTACTCTCAGATTCTTTTTTTCTTGTAACCTTGGCAACATTTGATTTCTCTGGATTTACTTGTTCTATCAGTTGCATATAAATGGAAACATGTAATATATGACCCCCTTTGACTGGCCGTTTTTTTTACTTAGCATAATACATTCAAGGCTCACTCATGTCATAGCATGTATCAGACTTTCTTAAACGTGGGTTTGGGACATGCACATTGTACGCATGTGTCTGCTTTTCCTCATCCATTTGTTCATGGATAGGCACTGGATTACGCCTGACTTTTGACTAGTGTTAGCTTCCACCAGCAGATTTTGAGGGTTGTAGTTTCTCTATGCCCCTGCACACTGTTACTGTGTCTCTCTTATTGCAGCTGCTTCAGCTGGTGGGAGGGGTGTCTCATTGTGTTTTGATCGGCATCCCCAGTACTGATAGCAGTTTTTCCTATGATTTTTGTCTGTCTGCGTATCTTCTTAGGAGACTTGCCTTTTAAGGTCTTTGTCCATGTTTAAAATGGTCTGTCTGTTTATTGTTGAGTGGTAAACGTTCCTCATGTATTCTGGGTATCCATCCCTTCTCAGGTTGGAATCACGGATGTAGTTACTTATTCTGTGGTATGTCTTTTTACGTTCTTTGTAGTGTTCTTGGATGTACTAACATTTTTGGTTGTAAGGAGATTTAGTGTGATGGTTTATCTCATGACAATTTGATAGTGTGTAGAATCAGTCGCCTGGGAGATCAGCCTCTGGGCATGCCTAGCAGAGAGAATCTTGACTAGTTTGAGGTGGGATTGCTGGTAATGCCATTGTGGGTGGCATGAATCCTTTCCTAGGTTGGGGTTGTGTGTCGCGTCTGCTGCGCGGCCTGTGTCCGAGAACGTGCGGAGGGTGTCGGGGATTGACAACACAGAGACTCGTTCAACGATGTAAAGAAAACTTTAAGCAGGCTCCAAAAAGGTTCAAGAAAACTTCCCAAGAAAGGCTCCCACCAGAGAAGCTTCTGCTCTCCTCTCTACCCTGGCTGGTTCTTTTCTGACCCCAGAAACTGATCTGGGCGTGGCAGAAGAGGTGGTTAGTCTTTGGACAAGGTCGAGGTCAGGGTGGTTTCTCGGGCAGGCCTTTTCCAGGAACTTAATGCCCCCAGGCATTGTATTGTTTTTAGTAAACATTGTCTTACAGCTGCCTACTCCCAGGCAGAAGGGGAAGTGGGTCTCTGCTCAAGGTCTGGTGTTCCCACAATTCACCCCTTTTTATTTTTAAATGAGGCACTCCTGGCTTAGGTCAAGTAGGGTCACCCTCCCTTTCCCGTCATTGGGGGACCTTGAACCCCTGTCTTAGGCGGGAGGGGTCTTCCCCACAGGTGGCCCGTCATCAGAGCACCCCAACTTTAAATCATCTGTAACCAACCTTCATGGCTATCGGGATTGCCATGGGCTAGGCTAAGCAATACTTGGTTACGGATCTCTTGCCTCTGGGACAAGGCACGTTTGAGCCCGGCATAAAGCCAGAATGCCTACCGCCACTGCCACCATTTCCAGGACCCCCATTGACATAGCGCCTCTCCATCACCGTACCCATCACCAGATCTGGGCCATAACATTCTACCAGCCTTCGTCTGTTACAAGGGTAACCCGCATGTGATTTACATTCTGTTACAAGGGTAACCCGCATGTGATTTACATTTACAATTTGATGAAGTTTACAATTGTTCCAAGATCTGCTCAGGAAAGCATTTAGAAAGTGCACTTGCACAGATACATTAGGTACAATCATTGATGTTACACATGTAGCATTATAAAAAATATGAACAATAGGCTTGTTGCACTATCCACAGAGCACCAATTTGTTCCTGTGGTGATGCAGTTTGTTGATTTAACGTCAGCTGATTATGCGACTTGAGTCAAAGTCTCCTTTTTGTCGCATTAGGACAAGTTGCACCTCTCTAGAAAAATACACTGGCCTAGTCGTGATTCCAGAAACAGGAACCATCAAGTCTGATATTTCAAGTGACCATGTCCTGTTCAATTACTGAAAAGAGGCTTTAGCCCCTCATCACAGTCCATACCAATGTCCAAATGTTTTAAATGGGTCCTTTTTTTTCTGTTGGCTTCACAATGAAAACTCATGGGTCTGGAAGGTTGATGCAGCAGGTCTGTTGAGAAACTGGAAATCTCGAACCGA